GAGGTGATAAAGCCTCCTAGTTTTATAAAAAACCTTTTGGTAGGCAGCATGGGGCTGGAATTCATTTTGAAAACCATCTACAGGGTGCTACAGAAGTTTGTAGGCCATGATTGGTGAGCATTAGTAGGGTGGTAAGTCAATTTGTTAAGGGGAGTGAAAGGAGGCGATAAAGGCTCCCAGTTAAAAATCCATTAGGGCCGAGGGATGCAGGCCCTTGGGCCTGGTCTAAATTGTTTTGGTTTTTGTTTGTTTGTTTTTCTAAATTGTTTTTTGTCAGACATTCTTCCAAGTGGTATCACACTGATCTGTGCATTGCTGTATAGAGGTAACACATGGTTGCTGTGGTGATGAACACTGTAACACTGATGTGCCAAATGTGATAATGTTTATCCATGGTGGGCAGTGTTTGGTGGAGCTTCCCAATTAGAACAAGCTTGGAAGAAGCAGGAATGGCATCCACTTCTGAAATGGCTTGCCCCTGGAAACTCTATGAACAGTGCTCAGGTCTTTCATTCATAGGGTCACTATGAGTCGTCTGTGACTCAATGGCACCTAACAACAACAATATGCATCGGAAAGTTGGATAATGACTATGGATGATAGAAGGAGCATTAATGCCTTTCAGCTGTGGTGCTGAAGAAGAGTATTGAAAATACCTTGGACTGTTAGAGAACAAACAAGTTTGTCCTAGAGAGGGTGAGACCAGGCTGCTCCTTGGAGGTAAGGATTCAGAAACTTCCTCTGATATACTTTGGGCATGTTGCAAGGAGGGACCAGTCCTTGGAGAGAGATATCATACTTGGGAGAGTGGAGGGACACACAAGAAAGGAAGACCCTCGATGAGATGGATTGATTCAGTAGTGACTGGGGTAATGGGACATAAAAAAGGTCAAAGTTCATGAGCATTAGCGGTAAATATAAATTATATTTCATTATAAGAAATCTGTAATAAAAGATTCAAAAATCTGAAAATTCTTACACTATAAATTTATATGACTTAACAGTAAAAGAATATAAATTTCAAACCAGAGAATGAGATTCTGAACCAAGCAGAACTTAATAGAAATGATAATGGGAAGAAATTATATTGTCTTGGTCCCAACACACTGGTAGAGACACACTACTCTGTGGAAATTTCCTCCCAAAATATTCCCCCTCACCCTGGGGGACTCCTCTCTGGACACCTCCATGAAAAGGTCTAATTATGGGAATGGAGCATAAATTCCCTAGAGCTCTGGTCTCTCTTAAAACACAAAGAAAGTAGATTCCCCTGGTTTTCCTCACTACTCATCAACATCAGGCCCTCTTATCTCCAACTGCCATGGTTTTTAGAAACAAGGACATCTTTGCTATCACCATTAGCTCATGCTGATTGTGTCTATTCTCTAGTCCTGACATGGGCAGTGCTTACTAAAAGATTTTCCAGGAACAAATATCATCTGAACCTTGATACTGCAGAGGACTTGTGTGGTTTCTTATCCAAAGACATTTATTCTGTTCTTCTGCTGTCAAGATGGTACCCAACCTGCATTCTCTTCCTGAGGTGCCTGGCTCTGATTTCAGGTATCTGTTCCAGAAATCGACATAATTATGCAATTGGATGTAACTTAAATCCCTTCTCCTGTTATTTCAAACCCAGAAAATCTTCCTTCTGTTATTTTAAGTCAGTGCAGAAGGGATATAACCACTTATCTTTTGGAAACGCAAGATCTAAATATCAGTCCAAGACAATAAGACATGAAGGTATGTTTGTTATTATATTGTCTTAGAAAAAATATTGTGGATGAGAGATACATTCTAGAATATCAGTGGAGGTGTGGGGAATATTATAGAAAGCTTTTACAATAAATTTATCTTCCAGAGATTTCAGAGGGAAGGTTGAAGTATGTGCATATACATACATTGTAGTGCTATGTATTTGAGAATTTGTACATTCATGATGTTAGCTTTGCAATATTCTCAGCAGATGCCTATTTGCATGTGAGAAGATTGTGACATGCTTAGAGGGGGAATTAATAGGGACATGCATGTCTGAACTGGTATGTCTCTATGTGATCATAGCATTGGAGAATTTTATATTTCCAGCTCCAGCTTTCCATTATACCACAGGCATGTATGTTACTTCTCCCATTTTATTAACCATCAGTAAGATCCCAAAGCTACCAGATTATCTAGAATTAAACACCAGACTTTATATATTCTATTCTCCTCCACAGTCCCTAGCATAATGGAGTCTTGTAAAAATAAATAAACCTTAGAGTCAGACTGATTTGAGTTTTAATCCTAATAAATCGTGTAACTCTATGCAATTTGTTGTTATGTACCATGAGTCGGACCTGACCCATAGTTGACCATCTAGCAGATTTTCAGAGGCAATAAATCACACGGGAGATTGCTTATCTTTCTCCTGTGGAGCAGCTAATGGGTAGTAAACATAATATAGCCTTCTATCCTCATATTTAAAATAGTAGTATTATCTAATTTCAGGTAAGTTAACACAGAAATTTATAGTTGGAAAGGGATAGAAATTTTCATCCCAGCTTACACATGTTCTGGTGACAGTTGACGTTATGTGCTGTCGAGTCACCTGTGACCAATAGCAACTGTATGTACAGCAGCTCTGAAGGCTGCCCTGTTCTGAGCCAGTCTCACTAATTCTGACATATCAAACCCCATTGCCACAGTTACTGTATCAATCCATCTCATCTAGGGCCTTCCTCTCCTGCAGTGACATCCTGGGTAAGATCCTTCTAAAAATCTACTTCCCTGTTTATGAAATGGGGATGGAAATAGTTAACATTTACATTTCATCTGTGTCAGACACTGTTCTAAGAACTTTATGCTTAATTCACTTGCTCCTCTTTAATTTACTAATGGAGAAATTAAAATAGACACAGGTTTAGAAGGAAGACTAAGATTACTCAGATTGGCAACTTATGCCAGGCTTGCCTTGCAGCACCTGTTAGAGTTGGGCTGCTAACCCAAACACTACACTTCTCTGGCAGTTGAATCCACCAGTGTGTCTGAGGGAGAAAGATGGGCAATCTCCTCCCCTGTGATTTACAGCCCCATAAACAAATGAAAGCTCAGCTGTAAGTCAGTTCCAACTCAATAGCAATGAGTGGGCTTGAGAGAGGATCTGGGACATAGTTAGCAGCCTGAACATAGTTAGCAGCCTGAGGTGCTGCTAATCAAAAGGTTTCACGTCTCTGTGGGTTGCAATCAACCAACAGCTCCTATGGAAAAAGGTAGACAATCTCTTCCTATTAAGATTTACAGCCTCAAAAGCCCATTGAAGGGTCATCATAACTCTCATAAAAGGAACAAAAGTAACCAGCCCCTTGTATGAATCAAAACTGATTCAACGATAAACAACAGAGTGAGAATAAAATCACAGAATCATATAAACATGATGTTTTGTGGAAGGCTTTAGGCCTCTGACAAATAAAAACTTGAAGATTATGATTTTTAAATTAGGTTAGTGAATGCGATGTCTAAAATGTTATCCTTATATTAATACCTTGGATGCAGGAGTGATATCCACTTTCTAAACAACAAGCCTCTGGAAACTCTATGAACTTTGATAAATGTCGATAGTTGTATAGTGGCTTCAGGCCTTCTGTTCACAGTCACTATGAGTTGTGCTCGACTTGAAGGAAAATCAACAACAACATATTAATATCAGTCAGCAAACAGGTATCCGTTGTCAACCTGGGGGGAAAAAATGAGGCAGAAGGAAATGAAATGACTTTCTCATACCAAATAATGGTCATAGGAGAGGTTTGCTAGGTTAGAACTCAGGTCCCCTGACTTCTAGTTTAGTATCTTTTTCTCTCTTTGGCTGATTTTTCATGTAAAGAATGGTAGGCATGAACAGATATGTACTGATCATGACCATCACATCAGGTCTTAACAGCAGTAAGACATGGACATGAAAAGCAGCCCCTATTCACTGCTATTTAGATACGTTATTCTACAGTGTAATGGGCTGTACTATATAGAAGCAATCTGAAACAACGGAAGTAATGGTTTTGATCTACTACCTATTTTGGGGTATTGCAATTTTTTTTTTCACTTCAAAGAAGGAGGAGGAGGCTAAGAGTGAAGTCTGTTTTCAGAGAGCTGAAGGGATGTCATGTGGAAGGAGACTACCATTCCATTTTGTTTCCAAGGAGAACAATCAGGGTTGAAAGAGCATTGATTTAGAAACCAGATAAATTCCAGCCCAAGTCCCTTCTTAGGTCAAGAGTCTTAGCATTTCTGTCCCTTTTTCCCGATTTATAAAACAGAGGTTAGGGGTTTGTGCGGGGAGAAGGGTGCAACAATGAATGAATGGAATTCCAAAATCTCTGTAGATGTTCATTGAAATGAAAAATAAACAACCTAAATAAAAAAAAAAAAAACCACAGAGGTTTAAGGGGAGCTCTGGTGGCCTAGTGGCAAGGAGCTGCAACTACAATCCCAGAGGCACACGGTTCGAATCCATCAAATGCTCTGCCGAGGAAGGAGGGACAATCTCCTCCTGTACCAGTCAGACCTGATTTGACGTACACTCACACAAAAATAAAATAAAAATTAAAAAATTAAAAAAAAAACCCAGAGGTTTAATCTTCCTTGCTAAAAAAAGAGGGGGGTAAAATAACAGAAATAAAATAGTCAACTAACCTGTTGCCATAAAGTCATTTATCTGACTCATAATGACTGAGTACAGAGTACAGCTATCTTCATAGGCTCTCAAGGATGCAAGTCTTTATGGAAGCAGACTGTTACATCTTTCTCCCATGGAGCAGCTGCGGAGATCTAACCCTTCCTTAACAGCAGAGTGCTTAGTGTACCACCAGGGTTCCTTGTCTTTATACCAAAAACTGAAAAAATTGAAAAACAATGGCTAAGAGTTGATTCCATTCATAGTGACCCCATCTCATTACCATTGCTACTGAGTCAATGACTTCATAAAATATTATAGAAGGGACAGCGCAGTAGAGGAAGGCCCCGATGAGATGGCTAACTCAGTAACTGCGGTGACGGGGGTAGGTGTGTGGTGGGAGTCAGTGAGAATGGTTCATGACAGAGCAGGATTCAGAGCCATTATACACTTCAGAGCTATTATACAGTCGCAGGCGACTCCATGACACATAAGAACTAGAACTTTCTACATTAAAGCACCAATTCAGTCACGATTTCTCATGCATGATTATCTTTGAACTACACCCCCACATTCTCGGGTTTTCATTTGCATGTAAGAGATATTATCACTCTTCCTATTTCTTTCTTCCAAATCTTTTGGGAACTTCCCACTTCAGGCCAATCTCAGCATAGAGGAGCGCTTCCTCCTGCTGGGCTTCTCCGACTGGCCAACCCTGCAGCCCATCCTCTTCGTCCTCGTCCTTCTCTGCTACCTGCTCACCCTGGCGGGCAACTCGGCGCTGGTGCTGCTGGCAGTGCGCGACCCGCGCCTGCACACGCCCATGTACTACTTTCTCTGCCACCTGGCCCTGGTGGACGCGGGCTTCACCAGCAGCGTGGTGCCGCCCCTGCTGGCTAACCTACGCGGCCATGCGCGCTGCTTCCCGCGCTCCGGCTGCCTGACGCAGCTGTTCGCGTCGCTGGCGCTGGGCTCGGCCGAGTGCGTGCTGCTGGCCGTCATGGCCCTGGACCGCGCGGCCGCCGTGTGCCGCCCGCTGCGCTACACCGGGCTCGCCTCGCAGCGCCTGTGCCGCTCGCTGGCCGGCGCCTCCTGGCTGGGCGGCCTTACCAACTCCGCCGCGCAGACCACGCTGCTGGCAGCCCGGCCGCTGTGCGCGCCCCTCCGGCTCGACCACTTCATCTGCGAGCTGCCCGCGCTGCTCAAGCTGGCCTGCCGCGTGGACGGGGACAACACCGAGCGCCAGATGTTCGCCGCCCGCGTGGTCATCCTGCTCGTGCCTTCCGCCATCATCCTGAGTTCTTACGGCGCAGTGGCGCGCGCTGTCTGGGGCATGCGCTCCAGCAGAGGCCGCAGGAAAGCGTTGGGCACCTGTGGGTCCCACCTGACTGCTGTCTGCCTGTTCTATGGCTCGGCCATCTACACCTACCTGCAGCCTACCCACAGTTACAGCCAAAGCCGGGGCAAATTCATCTCCCTCTTCTACACTGTGGTCACCCCAGCCCTCAACCCGCTCATCTACACCCTGAGGAATAAGGAGGTGAAGGGGGCCGCTAGGAGACTCCTGAGGCATGTGGGGAGAGGCCAAGTTGGACAGTAAGGGCATGGGAAGGGAGGATAGGGTCAGCCTAGGGGCTAAGAATGGAATCCCATGAGACAGTCAGTCAATGTATTTAACCTTCATTTCTGGGTGAGGATCAGCAACATTTGGCCTCAGGGAGTTCAAGGTTAATACCGGCGATCCCTTCCGCCCATTAGAAATGTTTAAATTCGTGATAGAAAAGTTCTGCTTCCTCTGTACATGAATTTCTACTTGTGGTGATTGACTTCATGTATTACAGAGTAGAACTGCTCCACAGGATTTCCTTGACTCTAATCTTGACAGAAAACACATGACCTGGACGTTCTTGTTAGGTTTGAGCCACCATTCTAAGATTATCAATTTCTCCTAAACTGAAGAAGGATGAGGACCACGCTACTAGAAAGACTTTCCCGGTATTTGGGGGATTTAGTAATGACCCATCAAGACTCCTAATGCAAATATGATGATGTGTATGCAACATAATGTTACCTTTAGCTTTCTACCAGCCTGATAGGAGAGGAAAGGTATATAAAATTGACAGAGTTTGTCTTTAAAGCAGGGGATTCTTGCAGGAGACCCCATCCAAGGAAACATTATTTCCTTTTCTGAAATCAGAACAATCGGAGACATAATGCCAATCTAACTAGGTGAACATGCTTTTAAGAAAGCACCAGACCTATAAATGTGATTAGGTGAAGTTGGGGAACCTTCCCTTAGGAAGTGGTTCTTGAGTTGGTTTTTAAGTAGAAATTAATAGTGGTGGGAAAGAAAGAGGGCAGGTTTTTTATTGTAAGAAGCACCAGCTTGCAAGTAACTGGTAGCATGACAATAGAGAGGAAGTGTAAGAGAAAGCAGAATATGAGAAGAAGAGGAGAAAAGAGGGAACTCACATTCCCAAGAAAAAAGTAAGGGCATAGTGGTGAAAGAAGCAGAGAAGAAAATGTTCTCTCAGTCAGAGTTTACACAGGGGACTGGCATCAACCCACAGGTCAAACCTAATCTTCACCCCAGCTGATAACGTAACCTAAAACAAATTTTTTAAAAAGACATAATAATCTAAGATGGCTGAGAGACTCATTCACAATCACTTGTATTTCAGAAAGTCCATTCCTATTTAAAGAGTAGGTGTCCCAGAGGAGGCCCCTTGATCTCTAGATTCTTATGGAAAAATAGCTCCCTGCTCACCAACATGCTAGAAAGAAGAAAAATGTAATTGAGTGTGGCCTATAGAGGGTTTGAAGAGGTACAATGCTAGGATTCATTCCATACCAAAAAGCAGGAAATAGAATAATTTTTTTAAAAATTTTTATGAGTTACATTATAATCATGTCAGAGTAATTAATTCACTTGAAAATAAATCTTCTCAGTAGTTCAACAAAGATAACTCTGGTTACTTAGTGGTAAAGAGTTGAACTGCCAACCCAAAGGCATATGGTTCATATCTACCACCTGTTCTGGGGAAGAAAGACAATCTCTTTCCATGTGATTTACAGCCTCTGAAAACCCACTGGAGTGTCAGCTATCAATTGGTTCTGATTTGACAGCATGTGGCAGTGATGACAACAATAACAGTTCAACAATTAATGGATGATATTTTAGATGAAGCGCTGAGATAAACATACATAGAAACACAGAAAATGGTAAAACCTGGACCCTATTAGAACTTACTGTGTTGTTGGATCAGAAGGAAATTGGGGATTTTCTGCACATCTGAGGAAAGTAAGAAAGAAATAGTAAATGGGTCCTGAATGTTGTCTCTAGAAAGCTTTGGTGATGTAGTTTCTATTCTTATTGACAATTTATATATAATCCAACTACTAAATCAATGGTATTATAATCAAAGAATCAGAGTTACCAAAGTCTTTACCTAATTGCTTGTCTGTCAGATACTCATAAATCTGAACATTCAGATTAAGACAGACTAGGAAGAAGGATTGGCCATCCACTTCTGAAATAGCAGGCCTCTGAAAACCCTATGTACAACAAAACAGACTAACAGGGAGGGCAACGAGGTAGAACTTTCAAGTATGGAAATACAAAGGAAGAGGAACAGTTGTAAGCAGACACTAGTGACTGGAACATGGAATGTGAGAACCATGAATGTAGGAAAATTAGAAATTGTTAAGAAAGAAATGAAACGCATAAATGTTGACATACCAGGTATTGGAGAGATGAGATGGACCAGCATGGGGCATTTTGAGTCAGATGATCATATGATATATAACTCCGGAGATGAAAAGACGAGGAAAAATGGAGTTGCTTTCATAGTTAAAAAAAGTAATTTCTAGATCCGTCTTGAAGTACAACATTGTGAGTGACAGGATAATATCCATACGCGTACAAGGAAGTCCAGTGAATACCACTATCATTCAGGTATATGCACCAACAACCAGAGCCAAAGAAGAAGAAATAGATGATTTCTACCAACTTTTACAGTCGGAAATCGATCGAACATGCAATCAAGATGCTTTAATAATAATGGGTGACTGGAATGCAAAAGTTGGGAACAGAGGAGAGGAATCAGTAGTTGGAAAACATGGACTTGGTGAGAGAAATGAGGCTGGAGAAAGAATGATTGAATTTTGCACAATCCATGACCTATTCATTCAAATACATTTTATAAGAAACACAAACACAGGTTATATACATGGATTTCACCTGATGGTATACATAGGAATCAGATCAATTATATCTGTGGGAAAAAACCACTGGAGAAGCTCAATATCAGCCGTGAAAACAAGGCCAGGAGCTCATTGTGAAAGAGACCACCAGCTACTCATATGCAAGTTCAAGCTGAAGCTGAGGAAAATTAAACTGAATCCACAGGAGCCAAAATATGACTTTGAGTTCATCCCACCTGAATTTCAGAACCATCTCAGGAACAGGTTTGAGGCCTTGAACACTAATGAGCAAAGACCTGATAAGTTGTGGGAGGATGTCAAATGTCTCATCCAGGAAGAGTGCAGACAGTCATTACAAAGACAGAAGAGGAAAAAAAGACCAAAATGGATGTCAGAAGAAACTCTGAAGTTTGCACTGGAACGTTGAGAAGCCAAAGCACAAGGAAGAATTCAAGATACTAAAGAGCTGAACAGAAGATTCCAAAGGGCAGCACGGGATGACAAAGCAAAATATTACAATGAAATGAGCAAGGAGCTAGAGTCAGAAAATCAAAAGGGCCGAACTCGCTCAGCATTTCTTAAGCTCAAGGAACTGAAGAACAAATGTAAACCTCGAGTTCCTATAATCAAGGATGCTTTAGGCAGAATATTAAATGATTCAGAAAGTAAGTATTAAAAGAACTTGGAAAGGATATACTGAGTCACTGTATCAAAAGGAACTGGCAGACACAGAAGAATTTAATGAAATAACATATGAGCAAGATCCTATGGTGATGAAGGAAGAAGTTCAAGCTGCTTTGAAGGAAATAGCAAAAAATAAGGCCCCAGGAATAGATGGTATACCAATTGACATATTTCCACTAACAGATGCTGCCCTGGACGTGCTCACCAAGTTGTGCCAAGAAATCCGGAGAACAACCACTTGGCCAAGTTGCTGGAAGAGATCTATATTTGTTCCCATTCCAAAGAAGGGTGACCCAAAAGAGTGTGGAAACTATAGAACGATATCATTGATTTCACATGCAAGCAAGATTCTACTGAAGATTATCCAAAAACGACTGGAACAGCGTATCAGCAGAGAACTGCCAGAAGTCCAGGCTGGTTTTAGAAGGGTTCGTGGTACTAGGGATATTGTAGCTGATGTTAGATGGATCTTAGCTAAAAGCAGGGGATACCAAAAGAATGTCTATCTGTGTTTCATTGATTATGCAAAGGCGCTTGACTGGGTGGATCATAACAAACTGTGGCTGATTCTCAGAAGAATGGGAATCCCAGAACACTTGATCATTCTAATGCAAAACCTATACTTGGACCAAGAGGCAGTCATCAAAACAGAGCAGGGAAACACTGCATGGTTCAAAATTGGGAACGGCATATGCCAAGGATGTGTCCTATCTCAATACCTTTTCAACCTGTATGCAGAACAAATTATCCGAGAGGCTGGGCTCTATGAGGAGAAGTGTGGTGTCAGGATTGGTGGAAGATCTATTAACAATCTGCATTATGAAGATGACACAACCCTACTTGCTGAAACTGAGGAGGACATGAAGTGCTTGCTGCAGAGGGAAGCTCAGTGTCAAGAAGACAAAGATTCTCACCACTGAACCAATTGGCAGCATCAGGATGGATGGTTAAGAGATTGAGATTGTTAACAACTTTAGTCTGCTTGGCTCCACGGTCAACACTCTTGGCACCAGTAGCCAGGAAATAAAAAAAAAATGTATTGCGATGGGAAAGTCTGCTGTTAGGGACCTCTCCAGGGTACTGAAGAACAGTGGTGTCACTCTGGAGACTAAGGTGCGTCTGATACAGGCTATGGTCTTTGCAATCACTTGTTATACATTAGAGAGTCGGAAAATGACTAAGGAGGATAGAAGGAGAATTGATGCCTTTGAGCTGTGGTGCTGGAGAAGATTATTGAATATACCATGGACTGTCAAGAAAACAAACAGATTCATCCTGGAGAGGGTTAAAGTGGGCTGCTCCTTGGAGGCAAGGATTCTGAGGCTTCATCTGACACACTTTGGACATGTTGTAAGGAGGGACAGGTCCTTGGAGAAGGACATCATGCTTGGGAGGGTGGAGGGATGGCACAAAAGGGGAAGACCCTCTATGAGGTGGATTGATTCAGTGACTGGGGTAATCAGGATGGGTGTGTTAGAGGTAGTGAGATTGGAACAAGATAGAGCAGGGTTTAGGACTGTTGTACATAGGGTCTCTATGAGTCGCAAATGACTCAATGGCACATAACAACAACAACCCCATCCAAAGCATGCTTTTTTATTTAGTTACTTCTCAGTAATTTTGGAAAATTAGCAAAGAAACAGTTTAGTGAGTAAAAGCCAAAAAGAAATTCCTCCTTTTGATCCTGAAATTACTACTTGGAATGGTTAGCCC